GGGGTCGGGGGGGGTGGGGGGTGCCTGCTGCAGAGTGTGCATGAGCCCTTCTGCCGCTGCATGGCACCCTGCGAGGCAGCCGGCATGTGCTGTGGGGGCCGGGCCTCCACCCCAGCCGCTGCTCACCCCTCCGCCTCTGCCAGCAACATCCCCAACAGATCTACCTTCGCCTGCCCATACTGTGGGGCCCGAAACCTGGACCAGCAGGAACTGCTGAAGCACTGTGTGGACAGCCATCGTGGCGACCCCAACCGTGTGGTGAGTGCCAGGGTCAGGCACGTGCGCGCTGGCCTGGGGCCCCTGGTGACAGACAGCAGCAGTGCTGGTGGGTCTTAGGCAGCCACTGAGCTCCGAGCGCCCTGTGGCCCGCGTGTGCCCCTAGCTCGGCCACCCCGGAAGGCCTGCGCCCTGCCTCACGGCGCTCCTTCGCAGGTGTGCCCCGTCTGTGCGGCTATGCCCTGGGGTGACCCCAGCTACAAGAGCGCCAACTTCCTCCAGCACCTGCTGCACCGGCACAAGTTCTCCTACGACACCTTCGTGGTGAGTACTCACAGCTGACCCCTGGAGCTGCCTGCAGGTGGGGCGCCCTGGCGCCCAGAGCGAGTGGCCACCAGAGGGAGCCAGGTGTCCACAGCAGGCTCAGCCCCTCAGCTCCTTGCTGCTGCCCCCTCCCTCCGTGGCCATGGGGACAGAAAGCCCCCAGTGAGCCAGTGTCCTCCGGGCGCTGTCCTGCCTGCTGTCCCCGGTCAGGCTTAGTGCAGCCCCCCAGGTCCCTGGAGCCTCAGCCACCCTGGCTGCTGGTGGGATTGCCTTGACTCCTGTCCACCCAGGCCCCACCCTTGGGGTCACAGAGCCCTGCAGCTCACCTGCCTTCTCAGACGCCCTGCTCTTAGGGCTCTCCACGCCACGGCCCCACAAAACCCTTGGTGCGCAGCCCCTGGGGGCTAGTACCTGCAGGCCGTTGAGTACAGCTCAGGCAGGGCCAGGACCTGGGAGAGTCAGGGTGAGTCACCCTGTGACACCACAGAGCCATCCTGCGGGCCCCGTGCCTGCTGTGGGACTCGGGCTGGACTGGGCAGGGTCAGCTCCACCCCTGTCTTCCAGGACTACAGCATCGACGAGGAGGCCGCCTTCCAGGCTGCCCTGGCCCTGTCTCTCTCTGAGAACTGAAGGCGGTGCCTCAGCCTCCTGTCAAGCCAGGGTCCAGGACACCCTCCCACCGGGGGACAGGGCCACACTTGCTCCCCTGCACCTACACTGCACGGGGTCGCGTGCACTCGATCACGCGGAGGCTCCCCTTGCTCCGGGAGGGCCCATCCGTGAGCCCCAGCCCAGACGCCAGCCAGCTGGCCCGTCACTGCTAGAGCAGCCCGCCATGCTCCCGGCCGGCGCCACCGGGGATTCGGTGCTTCGGGCCCAGCCGGCGGCTCGCAGAGCAGGTGCTGGCCCGGCGGGACTTGGAGAGCCGCTGCTCTTCAAAGCCATGGCGCCCTCCTGTCACGGAGAAGGGGTGGGCGGGCCCCACTGCTGAGCAGGAGGGCTGGGGCAGGAGCCCGGCCAGCCGCCGCCCAGCCCCTGCCCACGCTTCCAGCTGCGCGTTTGGTACTGGCTTTTGTGGTACCTGGGCGTCCGGGCGTTTTCTACAACCCCGCTGTGACGCCCTTTTCACGTTTTATAGACAAGCAGTCACTCCTCACACTGCAGTATCTGTCTGACTAGGAATAATAGTATTTTTATGGAACATTTACAGAATTATATTTTTTAAAAAAAGATTAAAAATAAACTCCGGGATTGTGCAAGGAGGGCCAGGGCAGGGCCAGCACAGGAGGGAGCAGCACGCACCCAGGGCAGCCCCGCACGCAGGCAGCGGAGTCCGGTCACCTGCATCCAGCAGGTCTCGTCTGCTTCCCCTGGAAAATACCTGGGAGAGGCCCCAGGCCCCTCCTCGGCCACTCGCAGGGCCCCTACCAGGTGCTGGCCAGTTGCCCTCACTCTCCAGAGCTACCCCTTGAGCAGGGCTGTGCTTGGCAGCAGGTCGGGCCTGGAAACTGGCCGGCCCGGGTTCTGTCCGTGGCGTAAGTTATTGCTGTCTTTAAAACGTCAATAAAACGTCTCCGAGCATCCACAGGAGGCTGGCGCTGGGTTCGTTCTGTAGGTGTGGCCGCTCCAGCCGCTCCTGTGGGCCACGTCTGGAGTGTGGTGTGACCAGTGCCCTAGCACAGAGCTGGGCCCAGCCACTGCCCGGCCCGTGCATTCCCCTTGGACAGCCCTCCTGCCACCCCTCCTGGTGGGGCCAAACACTGCAGCTGCTCTCCAGGCTCAGGCCCGTGAGGTTGCCATGGGGGCTCGGGCCTGACTCGGCAGATCCCGACCACCACAGCACCCTCAGGAGGCGATGCCTAGGCTTCTGTCTTACAGTGGAGGTCATAGCACCTGCCTCGCCACCGTCACCGTCAGGCTCCCCATATGCCAGGGCTGGGAGCCATAGCGTGGAGGGGAGTGGCCAGGCCAGGAGCCTGCTGCAGCGGGGTGGGGAGTGGGGAGTAGCCGGCAGATGGGCCGTGGCCAGGCACATACGTGTGTAACTGCTCTGTCCCGCCAGCCCTATCCCCGTGCCAGCCGGTCTGGGGTATCTGGGACCCTCCACTCTCGTCCTCCACTGAGGACCCCTCCCCTCCCCCAGGACCACTGCCTCAGTACACCCATGGGTCCCACAGGGCTGGGTGCTGGGGCGGGGGGAGGCCCATGCTGCCAGTGGGAGCAGTTCTTGGGGACTTGGGCTTCTGGGAGGGGCAGAGTGGGACGGAGCCCCTCTGCACCTGTGCTGTCTGCAGTGTGTCCGGTGTGATGGGTTCAGCCTTGAAGGCTGCCTTGAGCCCCCATCCCTGCCACAGGCAAAGCAGAGCCTGGTTACCAGAGAGGTGCAGGGAAGAAGCCACAGCCAGGCAGGGCCCGGCAGTCCTCGAAGGCCCTGGGTTCTGGCCTTGAGAGCCTCCCTGCCTTACATGCCTGGGGGGCAGGGGGGTCCTGCCTCCCTCTCAGATACCTCAGGGACCCCCCAACCTGAGCACGAATCCCAGGGAGTACAGGGGCCAATACCCCTCACCCCTCATTGAGGCCACTGGGAGCCTAGAGCCAAGGGACCGGCCAGCCCAGGGTGCCCACCAGTCTCCCTCCATGGGCACAGGCACTCCTAGCTGACAGTGTTCAGGAGTCTGCCCAGGGAGGGGTCCGGGGCCGAGGGGACACAGGAGAGCACTCCAGGAGGGAACGAGGGTGCCGACTTCAGCAGACCCGCTGCCCAGGCAAGGGAGCCTCAGGCCCCACAGCCCACCACACCCTTGGGTTTTCGCGGGAACTGCCAAGCAGAGCCGGATGCTGAAACCTCGTGTTGGGGTGTCTCGAGGAGTCAGGCCTTTCTGGGCCTCTCCTTGGCTGGTCCCCTTTCCCTGGGAAGTACACCACGCCCTCTCGGCCGGAGGGGCCGTGGGGCTGCCAGTCAGGCATCGCGGTGGTGGTGATGGGCCAGCCTAGCTCCTGTGCCCTGCGGCGTCCAGGATAGTTGGAGCTGAGCTGCAGCCGCAGGCCGCGGCCTCACCTTGCACAGCAGCGTGCAGGCTTGCACCTGCTTCCCAGCAGCACCTCCAGGCTCTCCGTCGAGAAGGCTGTGGGGCCAGCCGCTGCCAGGCAGAACACCCAGAGACCTGGCCAGGCCGGCCCCGGCCCCGGCCCCAGCCCGCCCGGAGCTCTACAGTACTGCACGTGGTGGTCTGGGCTGTGGTGGTCCGGGACGGTGCGGCAGGGGGGCCCC